GGGGCCTCTCGCTGGCAGAGCGTTGCTGTACGGGACAGATCCTGCGCGGGGACGGGCACAGCGGGCACCGGCTGCTCACAACTGTGCCATGCAGCTGTAGCAGCCGTGGTGTGCGTGCCCCCTGCTCCGTGCGTTCACTTCCGTCTGCTCTGGGTACGTTTCAGTTGCTGGAAATCGTCAGGAAGGAGGACGTGGTGCTCAGGGCGATCCTCACCACCCACCACCACTGGTAAGCGCCGCCGGCATGAGTGGGGGGCGTCAGGGTGGACATGTCCCATGTGGAACCGGGTGCCCATTCCCACCTCTGCTGGCGCAGGGACCACGCGAGGGGCAATGAGGAGCTGGTGAGGATCTGCCCTGGCCTGCAAGTGTACGGTGCCGATGAGCGGATTGGGGCCCTGACCCACAAGGTGACCCATGACCAGGAGCTGACGGTATGTGGCCACAGGACCACGGGAGCACCTGGGGCCCGGCCCCCCGTGCATGTATCCTGCCCCGTGGGGCGGTGGTGGCTGTCACGGTGCTGGGCGATGGCATAGTCCCCAGTGGCACAGCACGGCACCGCACCGGGACGTAATGGGGTTGGTGCCTGGCTGGGGCTGTGCTCGAAATCCCCGTGCCCTGGGGCAGTTGCAGATATGGCACCATAGGTTCGTGGATTCGGGGCTGGGACGGAGCACTGGGCTGAAGGAGAAACCTCGTCCCGTTCTCAGCCTGTTCGGGATTGCACTGGGGGGCCCAGCCCTCTCCTGGGACCCCGCTGCTGCACAGTGTCGGAGCAGGCTTGTGCAACCCGGGGCTCACCCAGGCTGTCCCCCAGCATGTCTGTGACCTGCTGAGCCCCCGGGCAGGCGGTGCTGTGTGGTCTGGGGGGATCTGGGTGTCCAACAGGTCCGGGGTGACCCCAGCGGGGTCCTGACCCTCTCTCCCCGCAGTTCGGGGCCATCCGGGTGAGGTGCCTCTTCACCCCCTGCCACACCTCGGGCCACATGTGCTACTTCATGTGGGAGGACGGCTGCCCGGATGCTCCGGCTCTCTTCTCAGGTATCCCACCCTGCCCACGTGCGCCCCGTGGGTACTGGGGACACGGGGGTTGCTGCCTGTCCCCCCATGCTCGGTGCTCACGGGGCGAATCCAGCGCATGGGGGCTCCCACAGGGCACCCCTTCCCTGGGAGCGGGGCCAGGGTGCCCTCCATGTCCAGACCCCTTTTCCTGCAGGTGACACCCTGTTCGTGGGAGGCTGTGGGAAGTTCTTTGAGGGGACGGCGGAGCAGATGTACACCAACCTCACCCAAATCTTGGGGGCTTTGCCAAAGGAGACGGTGAGTCTCCTTATCTCGTGTCTCCTCCATATCTCAGCCCCAGCCTAGAGAGAGACCCCACAATCAGGACGGGGCTCGAGGCTGGCACTGC